TTACAGACCTATATCCATCCTGCCCTGCCTTTCGAAAGTTTTTGAAAGCCAAGTTAACAAACAGATCACCGACCATTTAGAATCACACCGTACCTTCTCCGCTATGCAATCCGGTTTCCGAGCTTGTCTTGGGTACACCTCTGCCACGCTCAAGGTCCTAAACGATATTATAACCGCGATCGATAAAAGACAGTACTGTGCAGCCGTCTTCATCGACCTGGCCAAGGCTTTCGACTCTGTCAACAACCGCATTCTTATTGGCAAACTAAAAAGCCTTGGTTTCTCTAATGACTGCCACGCCTGGTTCACCAACTACTTCTCAGATAGAGTTCAATGTGTCAAATTGGAGGGCCTGTTGTCTGGACCTAGAGCAGTCTCCATGGGGGTGCCACATGGTTCAATTCTTGGGCCGACACCATTTTGTATACATCTGGCCCTTCATTGGACACTGTGTTAACAAACCTCCAAACAAGCTTCAATGCCATACAACACTCCTTCCGTAGCCTCCAACTGCTCTTAAACACAAGTAAAACTAAATGCATGCTCTTCAATCGAACGCTGCTGGCACCCGCCCACCCGACTAGAATCACTACTCTCGACGGGTCTGACCTAGAGTATGTGGACAACTACAAATACCTAGGTGTCTGGTTAGACTGTAAACTCTCCTTCCAGACTCACATTAAGCATCTCCAATCCAAAGTTACATCTAGAATCGGCTTCCTATTTCACAACAAAGCCTCCTTCACTCATGCTGCAAAAACATGCCCTCGTAAAACTGACTATCCTACCGATCCTTGACTTCGGCGATGTCATTTACAAAATAGCTTCCAACACTACTCAGCAAATTGGATGTAGTCTATCACAGTGCCATCCGTTTTGTCACCAAAGCCCCATATACAGTGAGGGAAAAAAGTATTTGATCCCCTGCTTATTTTGTACGTTTGCCCACTGACAAAGACATGTTCAGTCTATAATTTTAATGGTAGGTTTATTTGAACAGTGAGAGACAGAATAACAACAACAAAATCCAGAAAAACGCATGTCAAAAATGTTATCAATTTACATTTACATTTGACATTTAAGTCATTTAGCAGACACTTAATTATCTTAAATTGATTTGCATTTTAATGAGGGAAATAAGTATTTGACCCCTCTGCAAAACATGACTTAGTACTTGGTGGCAAAACCCTTGTTGGCAATCACAGAGGTCAGACGTTTCTTGTAGTTGGCCATCAGGTTTGCACACATCTCAGGAGGGATTTTGTCGCACTCCTCTTTGAAAATCTTCTCCAAGTCATTAAGGTTTCGAGGCTGACGTTTGGCAACTCGAACCTTCAGCACCCTCCACAGATTTTCTATGGGATTAAGGTCCAGGACCTTAATGTGCTTCTTCTTGAGCCACTCCTTTGTTGCCTTGGCCGTGTGTTTTGGGTAATTGTCATGCTGGAATACCCATCCACGACCCATTTTCAATGCCCTGGCTGAGGGAAGGAGGTTCTCAACCAAGATTTGACGGTACATGGTCCTGTCCATCGTCCCTTTGATGCAGTGAAGTTCTCCTGTCCCCTTAGCAGAACCCCCCCCCCCCCAAAGCATAATGTTTCCACCTCCATGTTTGACGGTGGGGATGGTGTTCTTGGGGTCATAGGCAGCATTCCTCCTCCTCCAAACACGGTGAGTTGAGTTGATGCCAAAGAGCTCGATTTTGGTCTTATCTGACCACAACACTTTCACCCAGTTCTCCTCTGAATCATTCAGATGTTCATTGGCAAACTTCAGACGGGCCTGTATATGTGCTTTCTTGAGCAGGGTGACCTTGCGGGCGCTGCAGGATTTCAGTCCTTCATTGCTTAGTGTTTTACATTACATTTACATTTACATTTTAGTCATTTAGCAGACGCTCTTATCCAGAGCGACTTACAGTTAGTGCATACATTATTTTATCGAACCCACAACCCTGGCGTTGCAAACGCCATGCTCTACCAACTGAGCTACATCCCCTGTCGGCCAAATCCCTCCCCTACCCTGGACGATGCTGGGCCAATTGTGCGCACCGCCCCATGGGTCTCCCGGTCGCGGCCGGCTACGACAGAGCCTGGATTCGAACCAGGATCTCTAGTGGCACAATTTTACCAATTGTTTTCTTGGTGACTATGGTCCCAGCTGCCGTGAGATCATTGACAAGATCCTCCCGTGTAGTTCTGGGCTGATTCCTCACCGTACACAATCATTGCAACTCCACGAGGTGAGATCTTGCATGGTGCCCCAGGCCGAGGGAGATTGACAGTTCTTTTGTGTTTCTTCCATTTGCGAATAATCGCACCAACTGTTGTCACCTTCTCACCAAGCTGCTTGGCGATGGTCTTGTAGCCCATTTCAGCCTTGTGTAGGTCTACAATCTTGTCCCTGACATCCTTGGAGAGCTCTTTGGTCTTGGCCATGGTGGAGAGTTTGGAATCTGATTGATTGATTGCTTCTGTGGACAGGTGTCTTTTATACAGGTAACAAACTGAGATTAGGAGCACTCCCTTTAAGAGTGTGCTCCTAATCTCAGCTCGTTACCTGTATAAAAGACACCTGGGAGCCAGAAATCTTTCTGATTGAGAGGGGGTCAAATACTTATTTCCCTCATTAAAATGCAAATCAATTTCTAACATTTTTGACATGCGTTTTTCTGGATTTTGTTGTTGTTATTCTGTCTCTCACTGTTCAAATAAACCTACCATTAAAATTATTGACTGATCATTTCTTTGTCAGTGGGCAAACGTACAAAATCAGCAGGGGATCAAATACTATTTTCCCTCACTGTACTACTACACTGTACGCTCTTGTTGGCTGGTCCTCACTACATATTCGTCGCCAAACCCACTGGCTCCAGGCCATCTATAAATCACTGCTAGGCAAATCCCTGCCTTATCTTAGCTCATTGGTCACCATAGCAACACCCACCCGTAGTATGCGCTCCAGCAGGTATGTCTCACTGGTCATCCCCAAAGCCAACACCTCCTTTGGCCGCCATTCCTTCCAGTTCTCTGCTGCCAATGACTGGAACGAACTGCAAAAATCTCTGAAGCTGGAGACTCCCATCTGTAATTAGCCCACCCAACTACCTCATCCCCATATTGTTATTTATTTTGCTCATTTGCACCCCAGTATCTCTATTTGCACATCATCTTTTGCACATCTATCATTCCAGTGTTAATACTAATTGTAATTATTTTGCACTAAGACCTATTTATTGCCTTACCTCCATAACTTACTACATTTGCACACACTGTATATAGATTTTTTATTGTGTTATTGACTGTACGTTTTGTTTATTCCATATGTAACTCTGTGTTGTTGTTTTTATCGCACTGCTTTGCTTTATCTTGGCCAGGTCGCAGTTGTAAATGAGAACTTGTTCTCAACTGGCTTACCTGGTTAAATAAAGGTGAAATAAATAAATAAATGTTTACTGATAATATTTCTGGTCAGGTTGATCATGTTATTGATTGTTCGATGTTTACTGATAATATTTCTGGTCAGGTTGATCGTGTTATTATTTTACGAATCTTTTTATAATTAGTAAAAAATCCCATTTTGTTTTGCTTTTTTTGTTTGTTTTTACTGCATCTCCTGACCAGACCTACATGCTCTCACCTCCATCCCTGACCAGACCTACATGCTCTCACCTCCATCCCTGACCAGACCCCCATGCTCTCACCTCCATCCATGACCAGACCCCCATGCTCTCACCTCCATCCCTGACCAGACCTACATGCTCTCACCTCCATCCCTGACCAGACCTACATGCTCTCACCTCCATCCATGACCAGACCTACATGCTCTCACCTCCATCCCTGACCAGACCCCCATGCTCTCACCTCCATCCCTACCCAGACCTAAATGCTCTCACCTCCATCCCTGACCAGACCTACATGCTCTCACCTCCATCCCTGACCAGACCTACATGCTCTCACCTCCATCCCTACCCAGACCCTCATGCTCTCACCTCCATCCCTGACCAGACCCCCATGCTCTCACCTCCATCCCTGACAAGACCCCCATGCTCTCACCTCCATCCCTGACCAGACCTACATGCTCTCACCTCCATCCCTGACCAGACCCCCATGCTCTCACCTCCATCCCTGACCAGACTTACATGCTCTCACCTCCATCCCTACCCAGACCTACATGCTCTCACCTCCATCCCTACCCAGACCTACATGCTCTCACCTCCATCCCTGACCAGACCCCCATGCTCTCACCTCCATCCCTGACCAGACCCCCATGCTCTCACCTCCATCCCTGACCAGACCCCCATGCTCTCACCTCCATCCCTGACCAGACCCCCATGCTCTCACCTCCATCCCTGACCAGACCCCCATGCTCTCACCTCCATCCATGACCAGACCCCCATGCTCTCACCTCCATCCCTGACCAGACCCCCATGCTCTCACCTCCATCCCTACCCAGACCTACATGCTCTCACCTCCATCCCTGACCAGACCTACATGCTCTCACCTCCATCCCTGACCAGACCCCCATGCTCTCACCTCCATCCCTGACCAGACCCCCATGCTCTCACCTCCATCCATGACCAGACCCCCATGCTCTCACCTCCATCCCTGACCAGACCCCCATGCTCTCACCTCCATCCCTGACCAGACCCCCATGCTCTCACCTCCATCCCTACCCAGACCCACATGCTCTCACCTCCATCCCTAGTGCCTGCATTATTGTTTGCCACTTGGCCTTAAATTTACCTATTCGTGTTTCTCAGTCGCCCATGCTATTTCAATAATAAATCATTAGATTTTTCCATTGTGTTAATGATGGCGAATTGATTGATTTTCAAGTTTTTAATATACGTTTTTTCAAGATGAGTGATGAGAAGAGAGTCGTCCAGCCCATTGGGTATCTCACTACACCCCCATATGCCACGTCTTGGTCGTGTATTGACGGTGTGATGTCATCAGGTTGATCATGTGATCGTATGATGTGCTGTGTGTCTCCAGGGTGATAAGGAGGCGGAGCTAGGACTGCCCTTCTCTCCTCTGTGTGACCGCAAGTCAACCATGGTGGCCCAGTCACAGATAGGTGAGTTACGTAATCACAACCCTAACCCTGACAGCAAGTCATCCATGGTGGCCCAATCACAACCCTAACCCTGACAGCAAGTCATCCATGGTGGCCCAATCACAAACAACCGTAACCCTGACTCAAGTCATCCATGGTGGCCCAATCACAACCCTAACCCTGACCGCAAGTCATCCATGGTGGCCCAGTCACAACCCTAACCCTGACAGCAAGTCATCCATGGTGGCCCAATCACAACCCTAACCCTGACCGCAAGTCATCCATGGTGGCCCAGTCACAACCCTAACCCTGACAGCAAGTCATCCATGGTGGCCCAGTCACAACCCTAACCCTGACAGCAAGTCATCCATGGTGGCCCAATCACAACCCTAACCCTGACAGCAAGTCATCCATGGTGGCCCAATCACAACCCTAACCCTGACAGCAAGTCATCCATGGTGGCCCAATCACAACCCTAACCCTGACAGCAAGTCATCCATGGTGGCCCAATCACAACCCTAACCCTGACCGCAAGTCATCCATGGTGGCCCAGTCACAGACGGTTGCGTAATAAGTAGTAATATGTGATACATTTCCATGTCCATTGCCCTTCATACCACAACAATACAACATCCATGATAAACTATAATGAGATTTACTCATCTTGATTTAAACGTGACCTTTGGAAGGTATCTGGACGGTTGACTTGGGAGCACTAGTGGCGGTCAGATAATGGTTACACATGGTTGGTCTGGACGGTTGACTTGGGAGCACTAGTGGCGGTCAGATAATGGTTACACATGGTTGGTCTGGACGGTTGACTTGGGAGCACTAGTGGCGGTCAGATAATGGTTACACATGGTTGGTCTGGACGGTTGACTTGGGAGCACTAGTGGCGGTCAGATAATGGTTACACATGGTTGGTCTGGACGGTTGACTTGGGAGCACTAGTGGCGGTCAGATAATGGTTACACATGGTTGGTCTGGACGGTTGACTTGGGAGCACTAGTGGCGGTCAGATAATGGTTACACATGGTTGGTCTGGACGGTTGACTTGGGAGCACTAGTGGCGGTCAGATAATGGTTACACATGGTTGGTCTGGACGGTTTGACTTGGGAGCACTAGTGGCGGTCAGATAATGGTTACACATGGTTGGTCTGGACGGTTGGACTTGGGAGCACTAGTGGCGGTCAGATAATGGTTACACATGGTTGGTCTGGACTGGTTGACTTGGGAGCAACTAGTGGCGGTCAGATAATGGTTACACATGGTGGGTCTGGAACGGTTTGACTTGGGAGCACTAGTGGCGGTCAGATAATGGTTACACATGGTTGGTCTGGACGGTTGACTTGGGAGCACTAGTGGCGGTCAGATAATGGTTACACATGGTTGGTCTGGACGGTTGACTTGGGAGCACTAGTGGCGGTCAGATAATGGTTACACATGGTTGGTCTGGGACGGTTGGACTTGGGAGCACTAGTGGCGGTTAAGATTACTGGTTACACATGGTTGGTCTGGACGGTTGGACTTTGGGAGCACTAGTGGCGGTCAGATAATGGTTACACATGGTTGGTCTGGACGGTTTGACTGGGAGCAACTAGTGCGCGGTCAGATAATGGTTACACCATGGTTTGGTCTGGACGGTTGACTTGGGGAGCACTAGTGGCGGTTCAGATAATGTGGTTACACATGGGTTGGCTTGGACGGTTGACTTGGGGAGCACTAGTGGCGGTCAGATAATGGTTACACATGGTTGGTCTGGACGGTTGACTTGGGAGCACTAGTGGCGGTCAGATGATTGGTTGATTCATGTCCAGTGTGCTCAGGCTGTTGTTCAATTTGAACCATTTGAGGGGCATGCATCACCAGCAAAGTCATTCACACCATTAGCACAAGCAGGTCTGATTAGGCTCAGCTATACCGCTGCCATAGAAACAAACAGAGCATGGCTTTGTGTCTGTGGTTGCACCTTTAGAATGCAGATAACTGCTCGTCTCTAGACAAACCAGAAAAAAAAGTACATCAAAACCCTATATAATCTACAAAAAAAAAAATTGTCACAAAAAATAGATGATTTGCAATATGGATCAGATTTTCATTTATATTTACATTTACGTCATTTAGCAGACGCTCTTATCCAGAGCGACTGACAAATAGGTGCATTCACCTTATAGCCAGTGGGATAACCACTTTACAATATATAGATATAATTTTTTTGGGGGGGTGGGGTAAGGGGCGGTAGAAGGATTACTTTATCCTATCCCAGGTATTCCTTAAAGAGGTGGGGTTTCAAATGTCTCCGGAAGGTGGTGAGTGACTCCGCTGTCCTGGCGTCGTGAGGGAGCTTGTTCCACCATTGGGGTGCCAGAGCAGCGAACAGTTTTGACTGGGCTGAGCGGGAACTATGCTTCCGCAGAGGTAGGGGAGCCAGCAGGCCAGAGGTGGATGAACGCAATGCCCTCGTTTGGGTGTATGGACTGATCAGAGCCTGAAGGTACAGAGGTGCCGTTCCCCTCACAGCTCCGTAGGCAAGCACCATGGTCTTGTAGCAGATGCGAGCTTCAACTGGAAGCCAGTGGAGTGTGCGGAGGAGCGGGGTGACGTGAGAGAACTTGGGAAGGTTGAACACCAGACGGGCTGCGGCATTCTGGATGAGTTGTAGGGGTTTAATGGCACAGGCAGGGAGCCCAGCCAACAGCGAGTTGCAGTAATCCAGACGGGAGATGACAAGTGCCTGGATTAGGACCTGTGCCGCTTCCTGTGTAAGGCAGGGTCGTACTCTCCGAATGTTGTAGAGCATGAACCTACAGGATCGGGTCACCGCCTTGATGTTAGCGGAGAACGACAGGGTGTTGTCCAGGGTCACGCCAAGGCTCTTCGCACTCTGGGAGGAGGACACAACGGAGTTGTCAACCGTGATGGCGAGATCATGGAACAGGCAGTCCTTCCCCGGGAGGAAGAGCAGCTCCGTCTTGCCAAGGTTCAGCTTGAGGTGGTGATCCGTCATCCATACTGATATGTCTGCCAGACATGCAGAGATGCGATTCGCCACCTGGTTATCAGAAGGGGGAAAGGAGAAGATTAGTTGTGTGTCGTCAGCGTAGCAATGATAGGAGAGGCCATGTGAGGATATGACAGAGCCAAGTGACTTGGTGTATAGCGAGAATAGGAGAGGGCCTAGAACTGAGCCCTGGGGGACACCAGTGGTGAGAGCACGTGGTGCGGAGACAGCTTTTCGCCACGCCACTTGGTAGGAGCGACCGGTCAGGTAAGACGCAATCCAAGAGTGAGCCGCGCCAGAGATGCCCAGCTCGGAGAGGGTAGAGAGGAGGATCTGATGATCTAGAAGGACAAGAGCAGAGGAGAGAGAGTTAGCTTTAGCAGTGCGGAGAGCCTCCGTGACACAGAGAAGAGCAGTCTCAGTTGAATGACCAGTCTTGAAACCTGACTGGTTTGGATCAAGAAGGTCATTCTGAGAGACATAGCAAGAGAGTTGGCTAAAGACGGCACGCTCAATAGTTTTGGAGAGAAAAGAAAGAAGGGATACTGGTCTGTAGTTGTTGACATCAGAGGGATCGAATGTTGGTTTTTTGAGAAGGGGTGCAACTCTCGCTCTCTTGAAGACGGAAGGGACATAGCCAGCGGTCAAGGATGAGTTGATCAGCGAGGTGAGGTAAGGGAGAAGGTCACCGGAGATGGTCTGGAGAAGAGAGGAGGGGATAGGGTCAAGCGGGCAGGTTGTTGGGCGGCCTGCCATCACAAGTCGCAAGATTTTATCTGGAGAGAGAGGGGAGAAAGAAGTCAAAGCATAGGGTAGGGCAGTGTGAGCAGGACCAGCAGTGTCATTTGACTTAACAAACGAGGATCGGATGTCGTCAACCTTCTTTTCAAAATGGTTGACGAAGTCATCCACAGAGGTATGCGAGAACACATGGTCAGACGAGGAGAGAGCAGCAGGAGTAGCAGTGTTTTCAGTGGTAATCCATGTTTCCGTCAGCGCCAAGAAGTTGAGGGACTGGAGGGTAGCATAGGCTGAGATGAACTCTGCCTTGTTGGCAGCAGAACGGCAGTTCCAGAGGCTGCCTGAGACCTGGAACTCCACGTGGGAGGTGCGTGCAGGGACCACCAGGTTAGAGAGGCAGCAGCCACGCGGTGTGAGGCGTTTGTGTAGCCTGTGCGGAGAGGAGAGAACAGGGATAGGCAGAGGCATAGTTGACAGGCTGCAGCAGATGGCTACAATAATGCAGAGGAGATCGGAATGAAATGAACTAAACATCTGGGAAAGGAGAGAGCGGGGCCTCCCTCACCACAACCCCCAAATATAACTCTTCCAACTTCCACCTCAGAAACTATAATTGTTGTAAACTACAGCGGTTCAATGTTTTCTAGGAATAGACTAACTTAGTTTATTCAGCTAGCTAACTAGGTGCAGTATTATTCCGTGAAAATCGTCCGGGCACCTCGTCATAAGACGCCACAGCCAGCTAGCATGTCGGCCATAACAAACCACCAGTGTATCAACACGCAAGCAGATTGTTCGTGTCCGTGTCTAACGTTGTGGGTTAGTCCCGACAGCTTGAGCGAGTCCGTCGTCAACTTATTCAGCCAGTTAGTTAGCTAGAATAGTTAGCAAACTAGCTAGCCATTGCTTTCAGACAAAGAAGAACCCCTCCTTTCACGGCACAAACACACAGAGAGAGCCAAACTAACGTTAACTAGTCACCCATGTCCCGAATTCCTTGAACGACTCGGGCTATCAATATGTAAAAAAAATTAAACACAAATGTAGGTTATGACTTACCCCTAGCAGCTAATGTTAGCTAGCCAAGTGCAAAGCTAGCCACTGAATTGACTCAGCAAGTTCGCGTCTGTTCTTTCGGTCGTTCCAGCTATTGTTTACTAGTAGCTATCCAGGTAGCAACAAGCTAACTAAATTTCAAGCACAGTAGCCACTTGCTACCTAACGTTAACGGTTCAGACAATGAGGTTAGAAAACAGCTGAATGGTAGGCAATTATTGTATGTAATTATTGTAGGCAGCCAGCTGGCATAATTACAGGCACTCTCAGGCGTGAAACAACTATACCGTTGCTAATAGCTACTCGCCAGCTAGTCCAGGTGGTGGGTTAGCCAGCTAGCTTTGTGCTACACCCGGCACAGCCGAATACAATACTAACCTACAATAATTACATACAACAACCCACGATAACTACCTACAATACCTAACTACAATGTAAATACATAGTTTAAGCCTTACTCGACAAAGCCCAAGCTATGTATAAAGCCAAGCTTACCTGACGACAATTAAAAGCCAACTCCAGGATCTCAGCAGTCAGGCACTCGAGCCAGAGTTGTGGGTGGTCATGTGCCTCGGTTGGTAAAGCATGGATCTTGCATGGTTCTTGCAACGCCAGAGTTGTGGGTTCGATTCCCACGGGGGACCAGTACGCTCTGCTAAATGAGTCATTACCAGTAAATAGATTAAATGTTAGTTGGGCTGTAGAATTGTTTATCCCACTGGCCTAATAGTCTCCATGTGTCTGTCTCCAGGGTTTATAGATTACATCGTGGTTCCAACCTTCACTGTGTTGACAGACATGACGGAGAAGATTGTCATTCCTCTCATCGACGAGGCGTCACTCAGCCTGGCAGGGTTCAGACGCTCCAGGTACCACACTTCCTGCTTCTACTTCCTGCTTCCTGTTTCTCCTCAGACCCTGTAGGAAAAGAGAGCATCGCCAACATAGTGTATCTTCTGGACCTATCAGTGTGTGGCACTGGGTCACTGTTATACCCTGTTATAGCCTGTTATACCCTGTTATACCCTGTTATACCCTGTTATAGTCTGTTATACCCTGTTATAGCCTGTTATACCCTGTTATAGCCTGTTATAGTCTGTTATACCCTGTTATACCCTGTTATAGCCTGTTATAGTCTGTTATACCCTGTTATACCCTGTTATAGCCTGTTATACCCTGTTATACCCTGTTATACCCTGTTATAGTCTGTTATACCCTGTTATAGCCTGTTATACCCTGTTATAGCCTGTTATAGTCTGTTATACCCTGTTATACCCTGTTATAGCCTGTTATAGTCTGTTATACCCTGTTATACCCTGTTATAGCCTGTTATACCCTGTTATACCCTGTTATACCCTGTTATAGCCTGTTATACCCTGTTATAGCCTGTTATACCCTGTTATACCCTGTTATACCCTGTTATACCCTGTTATACCCTGTTATAGCCTGTTATACCCTGTTATAGCCTGTTATACCCTGTTATAGCCTGTTATACCCTGTTATAGCCTGTTATACCCTGTTATGCCCTGTTATAGCCTGTTATACCCTGTTATAGCCTGTTATACCCTGTTATAGTCTGTTATACCCTGTTATACCCTGTTATAGCCTGTTATAGGTCTGTTATACCCTGTTATACCCTGTTATAGCCTGTTATACCTGTTATACCCTGTTATACCCTGTTATCGCCTGTATATAACCCTGTTATAGCCTGTTTATACCCTGTTATAGCCTGTTATACCCTGTTATACCCTGTTATACCCTGTTATAGCCTGTTATACCCTGTTATAGCCTGTTATACCCTGTTATAGCCTATTATACCCTGTTATATACGCTGTGTGGTCGAGTCTGAGAAGGATTGAACACTGCTGTTATCCCAAACACAGGACCCACTCCCTGCTTTAAAGGAGAGTTGTCAACCTCACTGTCTTCCACCTGTCAACCCTGTAGAAACTCTGTCTCCTCTAGTGCTCCAGTCTCAGTTAACTAATGGTCTTCTTCCTGTCAACCTCTCCTCTCCTCTCCTCTCCTCTCCACTCCACTCCACTCCACTCCACTCCACTCCACTCCACTCCACTCCACTCCAGTCTAAACACTATTCGCTGTGAGGATGCTAAGCGTGGTAGTGTAAAGAGTACAGGGTCAGAGGGCAGTCCTACTGGACATTATTCTCTACTGGCTGTGGACCTGAACAACTTCAAGGCTCTGTGGAATGAACAGGTTTATCAGAACAGAGAGAGATGGAAGACACAGGCCACTAAAGGTGTTTTCTCTATAGTTTTATCTATCAATCAATTAACCAACCAACCAATCAATATCCCTTTACACTTTTGTGTGTGTGTTTGTTCCTGTGTGTTCCTCCAGAGACACAGGAGAAGGCCAGAAGGGAGGCTGAGGAGGAGAGAGTCCTGCAGGAAGACACGATGGAACCCCAGGAGGGACAAACTGAACCAGAGCTGGGAGATACAGAGACACAGCAGGGAGGGGGGGGGGAGGAGGAAGAAGAGGTGGAGAGAGTGGGAGAAGAGGAGAGTGAAGTGCCAGAGGATCTCAACAGACCTCAGGACAGATGCACAGAGGAGACCGCAGAGAGAGAGGGTGTGAGGACCGCAGAGAGAGGGTGTGAGGACCGCAGAGAGAGATGGAGTGAGGACCGGAGAGAGAGATGGAGTGAGGACCGGAGAGAGAGATGGAGTGAGGACCGGAGAGAGAGATGGACAGAGGACCGGAGAGAGAGATGGAGAGAGGACAGAAGAGAGAGACGGAGGGAGGACACAGCCTGGGAGTGCAGCAGGAACGAGCCAACCATTACAGAATGGTAGGTCTCATTATACTGTATATTTAACAGCTTTTTCAGGGAACATTTTCTTATGGCATGTGACTTGTCTCTGATGACCCTTATCTCATAAATGTCAGAGGGGGCGGGGGCTCAACAGAGTGACCAGAACAAGACCAGAACACCTGAAGGTAAGAGGCTCTAGGTATACTATACACTACACTATATATATAGGACTGTGTTGTTTCTCTCAGCGATAGAGCTTGGAACCTAGGTATAACTATACACTACACTATATATATAGGAACTGGTGTTGTTTCTTTCTCTAGCGATAGAGCTGGACTAGGTATACTATACCACTAACACTATAATATATAGGACTGTGTTGTTCTCTCAGGATAGAGCTGGACTAGGTATACTATACACTACACTAAATATCTAGGACTGTGTTGTTTCTCTCAGCGATAGATTGACTAAGTTATATACCTACACTATATATACTAGGGACTGTGTTGTTGCTCTCAGCGATAGAGCTCGGACTAAGCGATACTAAGACACTAACACTAATATATAGGACTGTGTTGTTCTCTCAACAGCGATAGAGCTGGACTAGGTATACTATAAACACTACACTATATATATAGGACTGTGTTGTTTCTCTCAGCGATAGAGCTGGACTAGGTATATTATACACTATACTATATATAGGACTGTGTTGTTTCTCTCAGCGATAGAGCTGGACTAGGTATACTATACACTACACTATATATATAGGACTGTGTTGTTTCTCTCAGCGATAGAGCTGGACTAGGTATACTATACACTACACTATATATATAGGACTGTGTTGTTTCTCTCAGCGATAGAGCTGGACTAGGTATACTATACACTATGCTATACATTTTAGTCATTTAGCAGATGCTCTTTTCCAGAGCGACTTACAGTTAAGTGAGTGCATACATTTTCATACTGGCTACACTCTCTACTGGACAGAGACTATTACATATGATCTCTTCTTCTCTAACACTCTCTACTGGACAGAGACTATTACATATGATCTCTTCTTCTCTAACGCTCTCTACTGGACAGAGACTATTACATATGATCTCTTCTCCTCTAACACTCTCTACTGGACAGAGACTATTACATATGATCTCTTCTCCTCTAACACTCTCTACTGGACAGAGACTATTACATATGATCTCTTCTTCTCTAACACTCTCTACTGGACAGAGACTATTACATATGATCTCTTCTTCTCTAACACTCTCTACTGGACAGAGACTATTACATATGATCTCTTCTCCTCTAACACTCTCTACTGGACAGAGACTATTATATATGATCTCTTCTTCTCTAACACTCTCTACTGGACAGAGACTATTACATATGATCTCTTCTTCTTCTCTAACACTCTCTACTGGACAGAGACTATTACATATGATCTCTTCTTCTCTAACACTCTCTACTGGACAGAGACTATTACATATGATCTCTTCTTCTCTAACACTCTCTACTGGACAGAGACTATTACATATGATCTCTTCTTCTTCTCTAACGCTCTCTACTGGACAGAGACTATTACATATGATCTCTTCTCCTCTAACACTCTCTACTGGACAGAGACTATTACATATGATCTCTTCTTCTCTAACACTCTCTACTGGACAGAGACTATTACATATGATATATTCTTCTCTAACACTCTCTACTGGACAGAGACTATTACATATGATCTCTTCTTCTTCTCTAACACTCTCTACTGGACAGAGACTATTACATATGATCTCTTCTTCTCTAACACTCTCTACTGGACAGAGACTATTACATATGATCTCTTCTTCTCTAACACTCTCTACTGGACAGAGACTATTACATATGATCTCTTCCTCTTCTCTAACACTCTCTACTGGACAGAGACTATTACATATGATCTCTTCTTCTCTAACACTCTCTACTGGACAGAGACTATTACATATGATCTCTTCCTCTTCTCTAACACTCTCTACTGGACAGGGACTATTACATATGATCTCTTCTTCTCTAACACTCTCTACTGGACAGAGACTATTACATATGATCTCTTCTTCTCTAACACTCTCTACTGGACAGAGACTATTACATATGATCTCTTCTTCTTCTCTAACACTCTCTACTGGACAGAGACTATTACATATGATCTCTTCTTCTCTAACACTCTCTACTGGACAGAGACTATTACATATGATCTCTTCTTCTCTAACACTCTCTACTGGACAGAGACTATTACATATGATCTCTTCTTCTTCTCTAACACTCTCTACTGGACAGAGACTATTACATATGATCTCTTCTTCTTCTCTAACACTCTCTACTGGACAGAGACTATTACATATGATCTCTTCTTCTCTAACGCTCTCTACTGGACAGAGACTATTATATATGATCTCTTCTTCTCTAACACTCTCTACTGGACAGAGACTATTACATATGATCTCTTCTTCTCTAACACTCTCTACTGGACAGGGACTATTACATATGATCTCTTCTTCTCTAACACTCTCTACTGGACAGAGACTATTACATATGATCTCTTCTTCTCTAACACTCTCTACTGGACAGAGACTATTACATATGATCTCTTCTTCTCTAACACTCTCTACTGGACAGAGACTATTACATATGATCTCTTCTTCTCTAACACTCTCTACTGGACAGAGACTATTACATATGATCTCTTCTTCTCTAACACTCTCTACTGGACAGAGACTATTACATATGATCTCTTCTTCTCTAACACTCTCTACTGGACAGAGACTATTACATATGATCTCTTCTTCTCTAACACTCTCTACTGGACAGAGACTATTACATATGATCTCTTTCTCTAACACTCTCTACTGGACAGAGACTATTACATATGATCTCTTCTTCTCTAACACTCTCTACTGGACAGAGACTATTACATATGATCTCTTCTTCTTCTCTAACACTCTCTACTGGACAGAGACTATTACATATGATCTCTTCTTCTCTAACACTCTCTACTGGACAGAGACTATTACATATGATCTCTTCTTCTTCTCTAACACTCTCTACTGGACAGAGACTATTACATATGATCTCTTCTTCTTCTCTAACACTCTCTACTGGACAGAGACTATTACATATGATCTCTTCTTCTCTAACACTCTCTACTGGACAGAGACTATTACATATGATCTCTTCTCCTCTAACACTCTCTACTGGACAGAGACTATTACATATGATCTCTTCTTCTCTAACACTCTCTACTGGACAGAGACTATTATATATGATCTCTTCTTCTCTAACACTCTCTACTGGACAGAGACTATTACATATGATCTCTTCTTCTCTAACACTCTCTACTGGACAGAGACTATTACACATGATCTCTTCTTCTCTAACACTCTCTACTGGACAGAGACTATTACATATGATCTCTTCTTCTCTAACACTCTCTACTGGACAGAGACTATTACATATGATCTCTTCTTCTCTAACACTCTCTACTGGACAGAGACTATTACATATGATCTCTTCTTCTCTAACACTCTCTACTGGACAGAGACTATTACATATGATCTCTTCTTCTCTAACACTCTCTACTGGACAGAGACTATTACATATGATCTCTTCTTCTCTAACACTCTCTACTGGACAGAGACTATTACATATGATCTCTTCTTCTCTAACACTCTCTACTGGACAGAGACTATTACATATGATCTCTTCTTCTCTAACACTCTCTACTGGACAGAGACTATTACATATGATCTCTTCTTCTCTAACACTCTCTACTGGACAGAGACTATTACATATGATCTCTTCTTCTCTAACACTCTCTACTGGACAGAGACTATTACATATGATCTCTTCTTCTCTAACACTCTCTACTGGACAGAGACTATTACATATTATCTCTTCTTCTCTAACACTCTCTACTGGACAGAGACTATTACATATGATCTCTTCTTCTCTAACACTCTCTACTGGACAGAGACTATTACATATGATCTCTTCTTCTCTAACACTCTCTACTGCACAGAGACTATTACATATGATATCTTCTTCTTCTCTAACACTCTCTACTGGACAGAGACTATTACATATGATCTCTTCTTCTTCTCTAACACTCTCTACTGGACAGAGACTATTACATATGATCTCTTCTTCTCTAACACTCTCTACTGGACAGAGACTATTACATATGATCTCTTCTTCTCTAACACTCTCTACTGGACAGAGACTATTACATATGATCTCTTCTTCTCAAACACTCTCTACTGGACAGAGACTATTACATATGATCTCTTCTTCTCTAACACTCTCTACTGGACAGAGACTATTACATATTATCTCTTCTTCTCTAACACTCTCTACTGGACAGAGACTATTACATATGATCTCTTCTTCTTCTCTAACACTCTCTACTGGACAGAGACTATTACATATGATATCTTCTTCTTCTCTAACACTCTCTACTGGACAGAGACTATTACATATGATATCTTCTTCTTCTCTAACACTCTCTACTGGACAGAGACTATTATATATGATCTCTTCTTCTCTAACACTCTCTACTGGACCGAGACTATTACATATGATCTCTTCTTCTCTAACACTCTCTACTGGACAGAGACTATTACATATGATCTCTTCTTCTCTAACACTCTCTACTGGACAGAGACTATTACATATGATATCTTCTTCTTCTCTAACACTCTCTACTGGACAGAGACTATTATATATGATCTATTCTTCTCTAACACTCTCTACTGGACAGAGACTATTACATATGATCTCTTCTTCTCTAACACTCTCTACTGGACAGAGACTATTACATATGATCTCTTCTTCTCTAACACTCTCTACTGGACAGAGACTATTACATATGATCTCTTCTTCTCTAACACT